TTTGGTAAACAACCGCTGATCCTCCAAATGGTTACTTATTTGGTTACTCGCAGGATCGATCAGATTGATCCTATGGACATAGGTTGATTTTGAAGTTTAATTAATGTGGATAAGGCTTTAAGTAAATTGGTTAAAGTAAATTGCATAAAGGAAAAGGCTTGGTAAAATAAACAAGGCTGGAATGTAAAGGTTCGACAGGAATCTTAAAGGGAAAGAGCATGTAAAATACTGGAAAAGTAAATGACTTGAATTGATTAAATTGGTGTTTCACACATACATTTCTCAACAATTCGTTCGCTCACACTGGGTACTTGAATCTAAATGAGTGACTATGTATCTATTGTGAACACACGCGAGAAACTACACGTCTACTCCTATTTATACAAAAACATTCCAAGTAACCGTCGGGCAGTTACACTGCTTCGAGATCAAGCCACTTGTCACGTTCTCCATGCTCGACGCTCCAGATCCTTGCACGTTCGCACGTAGTAACTGCTGGAAACCGTTTTCCCTCCAAAGCTTTGAATTTCAAACCGCTCCACTCTGGACCATCGAACACGTTCGTCAAAAGACGTCTTCGACGAAAACTCCTTCGACGTCGAAGGCAATCAGCCTCCTTCCTTGGAAGAAATCTTCTAAGTATTTGGCCATCTTTCGACGGTCACTTCGACAAGCTTAGCCAGTCGAAAGCATCTTTCAGCTTTTAATGGCTGTCATCAATCAAAACAAAGGTGTCGAATTTAGGAGCCAACAGTATCCACTCACCTGCACTGACTCGCCCACAGATTCTACCAAAGATCCTTGAAAGAACTTGAGATCGTCTAAATCTCGACAGAGCCTCTCAAATACATCTAAATAGAGAATGTATGTTGAACTCCCCTGATCAATCAAGACTCTCTTGATTTCTTATTCATTACATCAAACGAAAATCACTATAAATTCATCGTTGTGCGGATGAATGGTGAATGTGTCTTCTTTGGGAAGGTGATATTGATCCCTAAAGAGACAATGTTGTTACTTTGAAGCCAACAAGAAAAATATGGACAAAGTTTATTTTTTTCGAACAAAACTTATTTCTCCATTTTTAACAAATCCTCTTACGATGGTGTTAAGTGTGTGAGACAACTATATCACCCTCCATCCTACTTGTTTTAAAACTTATTTGTTTTAGCTAAATAAAATTTTAAAATGCCTTCATCATGCCTATTACGAAAAATGATTTAACGCCATAAATTTTGTTGATCAATACTATGACCTATTTTCCACTCTAAATTTGCATCTAATAAAAAAGGAATTTTATTTGACCACTAATTATTATAATTGACTAATGTTGTCTAAATTAAGAGATTGATATGTAATTTCAAAATCTCAAGAATTAAATTATTAAACTCTTATAATTTTACAGATTAAACTTTTAATATAATTGTGTCAAAAAAAAATAATGTTGAATAGAATTTAGTGTAAATTTAGTTCTACTTTAAAAGAAATAGTAAAATGATCTCTATAATTCAGTGAATTTTTTTAGTATTTGAATGCTTTTCATAATTTTTATATTTTTCTAAAAGTAAATTTGATTTGAATACATTTTAATTATTAATTTAATTTATTTTAAAATTTAAGTTGATTAATAAAAGATGATTAGGGAGGTGGGTGGAATATAGGCAATAGCAACAGGCAGTCATGACATGTTGCGTCTGCCATTCGTTTGGTTTCGAGAAAAGACAGTACTAGTCGTCCCAAAACAAGAGGACGGTTTGGTCGGTTCACTATGGCCTCCACTTTCGACCTATTATACTTTTTAGTGGGCCAAATGTTTACTAGGAAAATCAAATTATTAACTTTTCATTTTTTTTATTTTTATATCAGATTTTTTCACTATTAAAATTTATCCAAACCGCTATGCGGACATATTTACTTCTAAAACATCATTTCTATCTAGAGATTTGATATGCAGTTGAATGTTTTCTAGCATGATTTTTTTTTTTTTTTTGCTTTTGAAAAGGAACACAATCTAGATTTTTTTTCTTCTGGATTCAATGACACAATTAAAATACTTACCATGTGAATGTTTGGATAAATGAGTTATCATGTCACGTGATTTGGTAAATACTCCCTCCTTCATAACTTTCTAGATAATAAAACATAAACAAAAACTATCTTAACAAAAACAAAATGTATTTAGTCAAATTTTGAATTAAATAATTCTTTTATTTATTTAGTTTAGACTGAGTATCATAATTAAAATTAAAATAATATATTCTTTTCAAAATATCATTACTTTATTTAATTATATTAACTATTTAATATTATATGTATCCGTCCAAGATCATTACCCTAAAATTTTTTAAGAATATCATTTTGAGTATAGGAACAAAATAATAAATATCAACTTAATTTTTCCTTCGCAAATATGAGATCTTTAAAGAAAAATATTGTCTAATTAGTATCAATTCTAGGTCGATATATTTGACTCTATAGTTATAGTAATAGCCACCATAAGTATTTGGTAAAATACATTTTTCATATTTTTACTTGACTTTAATTTGTATAAAATAACTAAATAAAACACTTTGATTAAAATAAAGAGGAAAAATTATTTTTATTTTTTCTTTACAAGATTTTGTTAAATGAAAAACCGGTGGCAAATGTAATATCTAAAGTAGCGGCGTTGCTGAATGTTTATTGCCGGATTGGCTGTTACTTGGCCCCACCAACATTGTTTCAACACACACACACATATATATATATATATATATATACTGTTGTTTTCTTGGTTTTAAGAAGAAAAAAAAACTAATAATTCTCATTTCCTCTCTTATATACCCTTTTCTCTAAATTTCTTCATCTTTCAAATTCCACCATCACTACACTTTTTTCCCAATCCCCCATTTTTCTCTCTCACTCCACCACAAGCAAAAAACCAAACTTTTTCTCAGGCAAGAATTCTACCTATCTCTATCTCTATTTTCTTTTCACTTTTATTTATTTATTTATTTATTTATCGTTATTCGTGTGTTAATTAGATGATCGTGCGTAATTAACCAACCAGCTTATACAAGTTCTGTATTTTCCAATACTCTTACTCTTGTTTAATTTTTATTTATTCATTTGCTTCTGATACTGATACTATGTTTGATCTTTACAAACTTTATTGTTCTTCAGATGGATCAAAATATTGATGATGCATATGTGTAATTCATATTTATATACTTTCATGTTCAATTTTCAATAGATCAATTGTTGGATCATGTTTAATCTTCATTTGTTTCTGATTTGATCAAGTTATGGTTTTGTGATTTGTCTATCAGATCCATCTCTGCAAAAAAAAAGAGTATAATCAGCTGTTTCTATAGAATTAAATTAAATTAAAAAAACTTTTTATTTAATTGATTATTTGACGTTAGGTGGAGTAGTATATGTTTTACTATACTAATATATAGAAGACTTTAAGATTAAAATAATACACTTTATTTTTTGACTGAATACTTTTAATACTGTTTTTAATTATTTACTGAATACCTTTAATTAATACTGTTTTTTTTGAAGAGTGTACTAAAAAAACCTTAAAGGAAGAAACAACAGTTTTCTCTTACTGCCACTGTGTCTTTATGCGGAATCTTAATTCCGCCAGCATCGATGTTGTTGGCAATTTTTGATTCCTTAAAGTTCACAACTACCCCTACATTTTTCGTAAAATACGAATTTGTCCTTCATTTTTTAGTGCTAGACTTGTCTTTTTTGAAAAAATAATGAGGTGAGATTCCTTTTTAAAAATTGAAATTTATTTAAATTTAAAAATATATTTGTCACAATATAAATGACAATAACTAGTTTGTTGTCATCACAAAAGTACTAACAACGTGAAGAGCGCATATGATTTTCCATTAATCAATGATAAGGGTTGCAATTAACGTGCTTTTTAAATAGATTATTCAACTAAAAAACTTTTTAGCGTAAATTAATATTATCGTTGATTTAAAATAACAAAAATTGATTTGGTGGAGAGAGAGGTGTAGGAGATTAGTTTACCTTGAAATGATGGCCCACAGGAATTAAAGTTGATTCTTGCAAATTCTGGTTTAATTCATTTTTATTCTTTGAATGGTTGATTTTTGGGTCCCATGATGTCTGAGTTTTAACCAACGTTCAAGATTCAATCTGATCTTGTTCAAAAAGGAAAATTGAACGGTAGATTTTTCTTTCTCTATTTTTTTTTGGTCAAAAAAGGTAGAATTCATTTTAGAAGAAAAGTATGAAAAGAAAAAAAAAACAAAGTTTTATTTGGGACCAAAGCCATGGCATGGTGCTTGCATGGATAGATAAATGTCTTATTTGTGAGATCAAGCTGTAAAACAGCTTTTTGGGACCCACCTACGTGCTTCTAGCATGTGATATCTTTGTCATCATCATAATAAAACACCAATGAGTGATTTATAATTTTGTTGTAATTGTATGTTAGTATATTACTAATTAATTAATATATTTTTTATTTTTTTAAATGTTCAATTATATTCATATATAGTCATCCATGACATTTGTTATCATTTCTGTTTCCACCATGTTTCAACATTATGATGCTCCACGTTTTTAAGCAGTGGATGCACCAGGGTTTGGTTGGTTGCATTCTAGAATATTTGTTTTTCTTATGTGACAAGATCTATGCCATTTGATTTTTAATTATTAATTACAATTTTATTATTATTATTATTATTATTATTATTATTATTATTATTATTATTATTATTATTATTATTATTATTATTATTATTATGATCTAATTTATTATTTAATTTTGTATATTATCTATCTTATCTTATTATACTCTCATATTATAATTAATTTTTTTTAAGTTATTAAATAAACAACGTATTTGGTTTTGTTCAGATTATTCAATTAATTTAAATATATATATTTTTTATAATACAAATATTCTAACATCTTCATGCATCATATTTCTTCTTTTTTTTCTAGAGCAGTCAATCTAGTCAATCTGAGGAAACATGGAAGAAGAGACAAAAGTCATTTCAGAAGTTCCAGTGACAAAGGTTGTTGAAGAAGTGGATGACAAAGATGTTGACATTAAGGTATTGTTTTCTTTGCATTCATTATTTCACAAGTTGCTTACTCTACACAAGGTATTTTAAATTCATAATTGTGTTAGTTTTAGTGCAAACTAGTATGTATAATTAATCACTGTTTTATGATATATTGCAGAAAACAAATGGAGACTTGCCGGCTAAGGAAATAGCCGAAGGAAAGAAAGACGAGGAAGATAATGCCTCGGATGGAGAGTTCATTAAAGTCGAGAAGGAAGAAAATGTGGTTGACGAAACGTCCAACAAAACTGAAAGAAGCTCAGATCCTCCTAGCAGAGAATTTCTTGAAGCGCAAGAGAAGGTTCGGGAACTCGAGGTTGAAGTGAAAACACTCGCTGAATCTTTGAAGACATCTGAACATGAAAACGCTGTGCTGAAGGGAGAGGTCTCGGAAACAAAAGAGAAATTGAAAGAAAGTGTAAAGAAAACCGAAGAGCTTGAACTAAGTCACAAGAAATTGCAAGAGCAGATTGTTGAAGTCGAGAACAAGTACAATCTGCAGGTCAGCACTCATGAAGAGGCTCTGCAAAGTCAAGAAGTTAAGGAGAAAGAGCTTCTTCAGGTGAAGGAAGCATTTGATGATCTGAACGTCAAGCTCGAAAGCTCCCGAAAGAAGATGCAGGAATTGGAGCATGAGCTGCAAGTTTCTAAGGACGAGGCACAGAAGTTCGAGGAGCTGCATAAGCAAAGCGTTTCGCAGGCTGAATCCGAGGGAAACAAGGTGATAGAATTTGAGAGACTACTTCAAGAAGCGAAATCGAGTGCGAAAGACACGGAAAATGAGATTGCTTCTCTGAAGGAAGAATTGAAGGGAGTTAATGATAAGGTCGCTGAAAAGGAAAAGATTGAAGAAGCACTTAAAACAACTGCAGCAGAACTCTCTACCATCCAAGACGAGTTGGCACTCTCCAAAACACAAGTATCGGAAGCTGAGCAAAGACTGTCTTCAAGGGACTTGCTAGTAGACGAGTTGACGAAGGAATTAAGCGTGATAAAAACTTCAGAAACACAGATAAAAGAAGACTTGTCAGCACTTCAAAACCTATTTGTTTCTACAAAGGAAGAGCTAAAAGAAAAAAGCTCCGAGTTGGAAAGTGCAAGGCTCAAGCTGCAGGAGGAGGAAACATCAAGAGAATCAATTGAGGTTTCGTTCAAGAGCCAAGAAGCACAGTTTCTATCGGTACAAGAGGAACTGACTAAGCTCAATGAAGAAAAAAAGAGACTTGAGGAAACTTTTGAAGATCTAACTGTTGATGCGAAACACTTTAAGGAGTTGTCCACTGATTTAGAGGCGAAACTAAAGCTTTCGGAGGAAAATTTTAGTAAAACAGATTCTCTTTTATCTCAGGCCCTTTCGAACAATTCAGAGCTGGAGCAGAAGGTGAAGTCTTTGGAAGACCTTCATAGTGAAGCTGGATCTGTCGCAGCTACTGCGACTCAAAGGAGTCTTGAGCTCGAGGGACATGTTGAAGCTACAAATGCAGCTGCAGAAGAGGCAAAATCACAGCTACGAGAGCTCAAAACACGCTTCATAACAGTAGAGCAGAAGAATGTTGAGCTTGAGCAACAATTAAATTCAGTGCAATTGAAAGCCAATGAAGCTGAGAGAGACGTGACTGAATATTCCGAGAAAATTTCTCATCTCGATGCTAAATTGAAAGAGGCCGAGGAAGCGAAGAATCTTCTTAATGGCCTACTGCAGGAGCACACGGATAAGGTAAGTCAGCTTGAATCAGATTTAAATCAATCAATCAAGGAGAAATCGCAATTGGAGGAGGAGCTGAAGATACTCACCGACAAATGTTCTGAGCATGAAGATCGAGCTACCACATACAATCAACGTAGCCTAGAACTAGAAGATTTAATTCAGAGCTCTCATTCAAAATCGCAAAGCGCTGAAAAGAGAGTGAGTGAGTTGGAGTTGCTACTTGAAACCGAGAAATACAGAATTCAGGAACTTGAACAACAAACAAGCGCATTAGAAAAGAAATATAGTGAGTCAGAAGAAAACTCCAATAAACATCTTGAAAATGTATCTTATCTGACATCAGAACTCGATGTGTTTCAAGCACGAACCTCGAGCCTTGAAAGTACACTGGAAGAAGCGAATGAAAGGGAAAAAGAGTTAAAAGCTTCGTTAAATGCTGTAACGGATGAAAGGGAAAAGTTAGAAGACTCTTTAAACAGTTTGAGCGAGAAGTTTTCCGAGGCAGAAAACCTATTGGAAATTGTGAGGGATGATTTAAATCTCACCCAAGTTAAGTTGCAAAGCACTGAAAATGATCTCAAGGCTGCTGAATTGAGAGAGAGCGAGATAAGAGAAAAACTTAACGCTACCGAAGAAAATCTTGTTGTAAAGGGAAGAGATATTGAGCATACTACTGCCAGAAACTTAGAACTCGAATCATTACATGAATCTCTGACAAGAGATTCTGAACAGAAGCTCCAAGAAGCTATTGAAAAGTTCAACAGCAAAGATTCCGAGGTTCAGTCTCTGCTTGAGAAAATTAAGATTTTGGAGGAGAGTATTACGGGAGCCGGTGAACAGTCTGCAACTTTGAAGAGTGAACTTGAAGAGAGTTTGAGCAAACTCGCTTCTTTGAAAAGCGAAAATGAAGATTTGAAAACGAAAATTATTGAAGCTGAGAACAAGACTTCACAGTCATTTTCTGAGAATGAATTACTGGTTGGAACAAACACTCAACTGAAATCAAAGATTGATGAACTTCAGGAGTCATTGAACAGCATTCTATCAGAGAAGGAAGTCACTGCTCAAGAACTTGTTTCGCATAAGAGCTTAGTAGCTGAATTGAATGATGTACAATCAAAATCTTCCGCTATTCATTCTGCCAATGAAGCTCGCATCGTGGAATTAGAATCCCAGTTACAAGAAGCCTTGCAGAAGCACACTGAGAAGGAATCAGAAACCAAAGAATTAGAATCCCAGTTACAAGAAGCCTTGCAGAAGCACACTGAGAAGGAATCAGAAACCAAAGAATTAGAATCCCAGTTACAAGAGGCCTTGCAGAAGCACACTGAGAAGGAATCAGAAACCAAAGAATTAGAATTCCAGTTACAAGAAGCCTTGCAGAAGCACACTGAGAAGGAATCAGAAACCAAAGAATTAGAATCCCAGTTACAAGAAGCCTTGCAGAAGCACACTGAGAAGGAATCAGAAACCAAAGAATTAGAATCCCAGTTACAAGAAGCCTTGCAGAAGCACACTGAGAAGGAATCAGAAACCAAAGAATTAGAATTCCAGTTACAAGAAGCCTTGCAGAAGCACACTGAGAAGGAATCAGAAACCAAAGAATTGAACGAGAAGCTGAATACTCTTGAAGGACAGATAAAGTTATACGAAGAACAGGTGCTGGAAGCCGTTGCAACGTCTGAAACTCGTAAAGCTGAGCTTGAGGAGAATCTCGTAAAATTAAAGCATCTTGAAACAGTTGTTGAGGAGCTACAAAACAAGTCACTCCACCATGAAAAAGAAACCGCTGGAGCAAAGGAGGAAAATTCAAAACTCGTTCAGGAAATCGCTGTCTATGAATCCAAATTAAGTGATTTACAGTCAAAGCTCACTGCAGAAGTTGCCGAGAAGGACAAGATATTTAATGAGACACTCTCATTGAAGAACGCCGCCGAAGACTTAGTGACAAAGCTCAATGAGGAAGTGCAGACATTGAAGTCACAGGTACTTAAAATACAGACTAAACATCGATACTCCTTAATTTTTATGTTATTTTCTTCACCTCTTGCTATTTGTGTAATATAATTAGAGAATTAACCTCAATGAAATGTGATCAACTCACAGATATCTTCGGTAATAGACGAGAAGAACTTGCTCAATGAGACTAATCAGAACTTAAAGAAGCAACTCGAGTCTATGATACTTGATCTTGAAGAGAAGTTGAAGGAGCATCAGAAAAATGAAGAGTCTTTGAGATCTGAGGTTGAAACTCTCAAAGTTGAGGTTGCTGAGAAATCCGTATTGCAAAGTCAGCTCCAGGAAATTGAAGCGCAACTCGTGAAAGCTGAATCTAGACTACATGAAGAGGTAGTGATAAAAGTACCTATATCTTGTAAAACAAGTTAAAATTCAGAAGCAAAAGTAGCTTTTAAATCTTAATGTAAGAACTTTGCTGATTAATCTGGTGTTTTGCAGGTTGGAAGTGTTCAAGCTGCTGCTACTCAAAGAGAAGCTGATTTGAGTTCAAAATTTAATGATTATGAACAAAAAGTCGATGAAATAAATGTGCTGAATGGAAAGGTTGTAGAACTTGAGAAAGAGTTGCAACTTGCACAGGCTGCTATAGCTAATCAGGTGCGTGCACGAGCTCAATACCAACGTTGTTCTTGTATGCCGAGATTGAGATGATTATATAATCTATATTAGTGATTTTTCTCATACCGATTTTCTATATTTTCCTTTTTTTTTTTTGATGCAGAAAGGAGCAGAATCTCAGAAGTTGGAACTAGAGGAAGCCTTGAAGAAATCTCTAGAAGAACATGAAACTAAGAAAAATGAAATCTCTCTTCTACAAAAACAAGTACAAGATTTTGAGCAGAAGTTGCAACAGGGTAGCGAGAAAATCTCAGTCAAGGTAATTTACATTTCTTAGCGTAGGAACCATCGAACTCATGTCATGTTATATTCTGTTAGCAAAATTTAATGTTTCCATTTCTTAATGATGTTCCAGGGTGAGGAGAGTGTTGGTAAAAAGGACGAGTTGGAAGTGAAATCAAGAGACTTTAGCATCTCGACTCCAACGAAAAGGAAGAGCAAGAAGAAGTCAGAAGCAACAACTGCTCAGGCATCATCTTCTCCGGCCGAGGCTCAAACTCAAACCGGACAGGACTCACCTTTCATGAATTTCAAGTTCATCTTTGGAACTGCTATTGTGTCCATTATCTTCGGCATAATTCTTGGGAAGCGTTATTAATATTGCGAATATGTCTTCTGGTTTTATTTTTATTTGTATTTATTTATACTTGATGGTTTTTGGGTCAGTTTGAAAGCTTTACATGCTTTCAAACTCGAGTCTTGAGTTGGTTAGGGAACTTGTTTTTGCGTTTATCCTTTGCCTTTGTGCAAAAGAAATGGGAGTTGAGTAATGTTTTGGTTTTAGTTTTGGAATTATATACAATTTGAATGCAGGCCGTTTTGCTTTGGAGTACATTTTTCTTCTCAAACTGGTGAACTATGGTGTAAAGAATAAAAACTGATCATCTATCTATATATCTATACCTCCATGTTACAAACTACTAGTATCTATCTATATGCCTTTCTAGCTGCAATCATCTATCCAGTAACTAGTATCAATAATCCTTCAAGCACAAACCTATAAGAATGAAGTGATTTAAGATATATCAGTTCATAGTTCCTCTGGCACAAGTCCTATAAAAACAAAATGATATAAGGCATATTGATTCCTAGTCCGTCTAGCACAAGACTTATAAGAGTAGAACTCTCAATGCTTGGCCATTCAATCTAAAGGGCTTTTCTTTATAAAATGGGTCTTTCACTTCCATTTCTCATAGTTTTCTTTTAAACAGGGATTTTCTTCATTAACATATTTTTTCCCTCGCCTGCTTTTGATTACCCGCCCTTCAGTTAGTAATGAAGCCCTAATTCAAGTATCTCTTTTTTTCTTCTTTTTGGTGCCTTTCGTTTCCTTTATTTATTAGCCATGATTTATATTAGAGATTGTGACGCGAATGGGAAGGACGATTGAACTCAAAACATGATTCTAAGAGACATGATTTATGGACTCGTGCTAGAAGAGTTCAAAGCGGATTGATTGTTTAGTAGATTGGAGTTTTGTTAAGACGAAGGCTAAAATAACAAGTGTTTATGTCACCATTCATTATCTCGCTTGTGTAATCGAAGTAAAAGTCATTCCGCGTTCGAGATAACATGTGTTATTTGTAGTAGTGAGAGGAGGAAAACATTATCTCGATGTACAATAATGATGTTTGGTAAAATCTTTTTGCAAGTGCCTATATATATATTGAATTCTAAATGTTAGACGATATGCTATGATTTAGAGGGAGGGTGAAAAGATCGCAAATGAAATTTTAATTAAAATTATGTTTTAAAATGTTTAAACTATGGCGCGCGGAAACATACCCGGATCGACAATGTTATCGAAAAGACCGAATATACGTTAAATCGATAGAACAAATACGTAAGATGAAAAAGACAATCAATATATTTTTCAGCAACCACGTTTGAATTTAAATCATACAATAGTAATCTATTTCTAATGAAATATCAAACAAAAATTGATATAAGCAATTTGTCGAACACTTGGTGTGCAATCGATTCATAACAGATTTTTCTATGATTTTGTTGATATGTAAATTCAATTACAATCACATAGATTATAATTAGCTCAACAAAATAATTTGAATTATTAAACAAAGAGATTATCTCAATGTATCGATTGCACAATCAACGTTTTCATAATTTACAAGTAAAACTGAGAGAGAGAGAGAGAGAGAGAGAGAGAGAGAGAGAGAGAGAGAGAGAGAGAGAGAGAGAGAGAGAGAGAGAGAGAGAGAGAGAGAGAGAGTAATTTATTTAGGCAGTTTCTCAATGGCCTTGTTATGGGTACGTCTGTCCCTAATTCCACTCTGAATTGAGATAATGAAAATTAATCTTTGCAAAATATTGTTTACAAGAGAACAAGTAGCAATCAAACCCTTCAAATCCTATGGTTGATGTTGATCCTAACTTCTTCTCTCTCCTTGATCAGAGCTTGATCAAGTAATCCGATACTTCTAATTTTATCCTTCGGTTACCGCTATTCCTTTGACAGAACCATTGTTCTTCAAATCCTTCACTTGGGTGATCCAAATTATGAATGTATCGTGATCCAAGATTACCAAAGTGTTCCTTCAGTTACCATTACTCCTTTGGTAGAAATCCTCGTTCTTCAAAACTTTCACTTGGCTAAATCCAAATTCCACAATCTTATGCAAAACCTCCAAATCAATCCTAGATCTTTGAAGGAAACCCTAAATGGATTTATCTTGAAATCCCGAAAGATCTTTCAGCCTAATTGATTATGCCGAATCCTAATTAGACGCTATCAAACTATCTCTTGATCACACAACAAAAATGATTATGTGTTGTTGTATGTATACAATGAGAGAGGATGAAGATGATGAAAATATTTATATATTTTTGGTTTTAATGATGAGAAATGATGCATGAATGACTATATATAGGTGAGAGTGTGTGAAAGAAGGAAACAATAAAAAATGGGGTTGCAAAATTATAAAATTGGACATTTTGAACATTGGGAGTCGAATCATTCAAAGTGGAGTCGACTCCTAAGGGCAAAGGAGTCGACCCATACTTCCTGGAAGTTGAATCCAAGTGGTCATAAAAGAATTTTGTAAAAATGCTCCAGTAAGAGTCAAAATATAACACTTGTGAGTTGACCCCTTCGTGTTATGTATTGACTCCAAGGACATGAGAGTCAATTACTTTTTGTTGTGTATTGACTCCAAAGACCTGAGAGTCGACTCCTTTTTGAAAGAAACATTTATTTCTAATTTTACTTCATAGGGAGTCGACTCCTAACACAGAGGAGTCGTCTCCAAGCATGGTTTTTGATGAAAATGTATATTTTTGGCATTTTAACTTATCCAAATACTTTTGACTTGTTTCCTAAGTATTATAAGATGAAAATGCAACCTAGACATATAAAGATAAGGTCCAGTATACAAATAATACATATTACCTAGTTTTTACATCATTCGAAACATCTAAGAGAGGATATTGCACTCACATACTCCCTCTTTTTTATGATGGAAAAACATATGACTTATTTGTAGTCTCTGATCATATCTCCCCTTGAATATGTGGATCTTTCTTTTAATATTTGTCAACAACTTTGTTATTTTTTCTAGCATAACTTCCCTTTCGTGTTGTGTATTGATTCCAAACACCTGGGAGTCGACTCTTTTTTTCCGTGTATTGACTCCAAAGACCTGTGAGTCAACTCCTTTTTGATAGAAACATTTGTTTCTGATTTTTCTTTAGAGGGATTCGACTCCTAACACAGAGGAGTCGACTCCAAACATGGTTTTTGATTAAAAAAATGCATATTTTGGTATTTTTAACATGTCCAAATGCTTTTGACTTGTTCTCTAAGTGTCCTAAGATAAAAATGCAACCTAGACATAAAAAGATAAGGTCCAATATACAAATATTATATATTACCTAGTTTTGACATCATTTAAAATATCTAAGAGAGGATATTACACTCACATACTCACTTTTTTATATGATGGCAAAACTTATGTCGTATTTGTAGTCTCTTGTCATATTTCCCTCTGAATATATGCATATTTCTTTTAATATTCACAAACAACTTTGTTCTTTGTTTTTACATAGTTTCTCTTCCTTTGTCAACATCAAAAAGAGAAAAAGACCAAAAAGTGTAAGACACATCAAGTAAAACACACAATTACGTATATACCATTCAGAGGTGTTACAAAGATAATTCGATCAACAAAAATAACACTCACATAGAATGACGTTAAAGTGAAAAAGTATAAATATAAATAACCAGTAATGCACAAAAACGTAAGAGAGATAAATGACATGTCCAAGCATACTATCATAAGATATTTCAAATGCGAAGAATTTATACAATGAAATACAAATAATTAAAACATGAAGTTGATATAAACATATGGATTGAAAACACTTATGGGTTAACAAAATTTTTTTTGGAAGTGAACACTCATGGGATTACATTACACGTCAAATATATCACATACTTTTGGAACATAAGCATGTAATCAAATTTTCCAGAGACATAGATAATCAGTGCAGAAAATAAAAACTTATGATCACAGAGATAAATTAAACGATATTACCTCACCGCACTAAAGAAGGATGATGCACTTATAGGACAAGAAACTTTTGAACCAAAGTTGAAACAACTGTAAAGAGTGCCTTTAAACTATTTAACTTCAACGTTCTTACGACCTTCATATTTGTCTAAGTTTCCATTTGTGTGCATTGGAGTGTCAAAAGACACATAAAAATCCCTTCTTTGAGTCATCTTAGAGTGTGTAGTCATGAATGGTGATGTCTCCAAGAATATTGACGATTTGATATCAAAAGATCATCCATTTTAGTTGGACTTTCATTCTTCTCATATTTAGGATCATCTTACTCCTCCCCAGGTTTCACCAGTTCAGGATGATCAGATCCTTCTTTGGTGTCTTTGAGTATGTCTTCTGAAGATACACCTATATCATGAAAAGAAAATACTTTTCCTGACTTTTCTAGGATATGATTCATCAAAAGTGACATGCACAGATTCTTCAACAACAAGTAATAATAGAGATAGTAATCGAAGAAGGATTTACACTACCTTTTCCAAGTATAACACCCTTGTTTTTGTCTCCGTAGGTCACATATCCCTTTTTCTTTATCACAAATTTAATGAATAAGGGAAATGTTACCTGTCACATGCCTTGAACATTCACTATCAAGAACTCATATTCTATCCATGGAGGTAATACATTTATCCTACAAAATCAATTAAGAGTGCTAGGTACCTAATTTTTATTGGGTCCTTAAGAGTAAGTGTAAACAATGTTGCACTTAGGCAACCATTGAAAAACACCTTTAGAAGCAAGAAATCTCCTAAATTTGCATTTTGCAATGGTATGAACTTTCTTGCAATAATAGTGACAAGTCAATTAATGGTGAGAGGGACTATTTCTATTTGATTGCTTTTCAACAAATTCGTACTTCTTATATGGTATAACACCCTTCTAAAACCCCACAAATATTATAATTAATAAATCAGAGCACTGCACCAAAAGGGTGTCACATGCTTCATAAAACATCATACATGCATCTCTTGCTCCGTAACTCAGGATTTTCAATATTTACAAACATTTCCTTTTGGAA